CTTTAGTGGAATGACCCGTAGTTAACGAATCTAGATTAACTCGGTCAATGAGTTTGACCGATTAATCTTGCATCGTTGGAGCTTCAGATCTGTAGATCCATTAGGTCCCCTTGCTAGCTCATAACGGGTAAAACGAGGATCAAGTTTTTGGAAGAATTTGAATTGTTCAAATTACTTAAGGGATTATATGTATATTGATACATTATAATATATAGTTAATTATAGATTAAAACTATATATTATGAGAGAAATTATTTGAATGAGATTCAAATAAAATTAATATGAATAAGATTCATATTAAAACTATAAGTTAAAAATAATGTGCATAAGATGTACATTAGAACTATAGGTTATACGAGAGAAATGTTATAGAATATGATTCTATTTTTGTGATAAATAATTAAGTGTTAATTATTTATTTGATTTATATATATATATGTATATATATATATATTAATTATTAATTGGATTAATAATTAATAATTATTTATTAATTAATAAAATTAATTTTATATTTTAATTATTATATATATATATTATATATATTAATTATTTATATAAATATATATATATTATTAATATTAATTATTAACTCTCCTGTATTATTGTAGGGGTGGGGAGTTAAGTGACGTGGGGTAACTCCCCACGTCACTGGTTTTCTGGGGAAAATTTGCAAAAAGGTTCTGCAAAACATAACAACACAACACTCTCAACGTGAAGCTCTCTCAATCAAAAAAAAATTCTCTCAATCTCTCCCTTTCTTCGATCAAGGTGCTACCACAAGCACGATCCCGAGACCCAAGAGAATAGCGAGGAAGAAATAGTGGTGATGTTCGAGGAAAACTGGTTGAAGAAACGCTCTTCAAAGGTAAAATTTCCCCTGTATTTTTCTTCTGTAAAATTCGATTTTGTATTCCGAAAATCAGCAACGAAAATCCGCTTCCGCTTCGGGATTCACATCCCTTCAGGGTTGTGGTCAAAAAACGAAGATGATATTAAGGCCTCTTTAATTAACTATTATTCCAAACTCTTTGAGTCCTCGAGGCCTAGTGAGCAAGCGTTGAGTACTGTTTAGCGAGTTATTCCCACACGAGTAACCCAGCTATTAACCTAATGTTGCTAGCTCATTTTAATGAATAATGTATTATCAACGCTTTTAAAGACATGTACCCCACAAAGGCCATTGGACCATACGACTTCCCGACACTCTTTCCAAAAATACTAGAGGATGGTGGGTCCTAAAACTTCTGAGATGTGCTTGGCTATCCTAAACAAAGACGAGAGTATCGAAGACTTAAATGAAACCAACATTGCACTGATCCCAAAGATCACGAATCCGAGGTATGTTTCCAAATTTCGCCCTATTAGTCTATGTAATGTCTCTTACAAGATTGTTACGAAGTACCTTGTAAACAGATTAAGGCTGATCTTGAAAGACATTATATCGGAGACCAGTCTGCTTTCATTCCGAGGAGAGCTATTATTGATAATATCATTATTAGTCACAAATCCCTCCACGCCATAAAAAATATCAAGAAGGGACGTGAAGGAGTTGCAGCGTTCAAGCTTGACATGATCAAGGCATAATATGCCTGGGTTGAGTGGATTTTCTTAGAAAAAGTGGTGCTTAAATTGGGTTTTCAGGAAGAATGGGTTTCTTTGGTTCTCAGATGTGTCTCCTCGATATCTCTCTCAATCCTAATAAATGGAGAGGCAAAAGGTAGAATTAAGCCAAGCAGGGGTTTGAGACAAGGGGCTTTCTCTTCTAATTCAGGATGTCATAGCTCGTCGGTCCATCACAGGTTTGTCTATATCTGAGCAGAGTCCCACAATTTCGCATCTCTTTTTTGCAGATGACAGCCTGGTTTTCATCAGGGCCAATTATGTAGAATGTTTTATATTGAGCAATCTTCTAAGAAAATATGAAGAAGCATCAAGTCAGTGTATAAATTTCGAGAAATCAATTGTGTGTTTTTCCTTCAATATCAGTTGTGAACGAGGAGCCTATCTCCAATCTATTCTCAATGTCCGGATGGTGGATAATCTAGGGTTGTATTTGGGCCTTCCCTCGATTTTCTCTAGACGAAAAAGAGTGGATTTTAGCAAAATAAAAGATAGAATCTGGAAAGTTATGCAGGGCTGGAAGATGAGTTTTTTCTCGATGGGGGAAGGGGGTCTTGATTAAAAGCATAGGCCAAGTCATTCTGACTTGTAGTATAAGGGTTTTCCGCCTTCCTAAAACTTTGTGCAATGAGATCACTAAGATCTTTGCCCGATTCTGGTGGGGCTCGAATGAGGGGAAAAAAGGTCCATTGAATGAATTGGGAGAAGCTCTGTCTTCCAAAAGAGTTGGGTGGCCTAAACTTTTGGGATCTAGAGAGATTTGACCAAGCTTTATTGGCTAAGCAAGCGTGAAGATTGACTATGTCACCCAATCTCTTAGCTTTTAGAGTGTTGAAAGGTAAATATTTCCCTCAATCACAGTTTTTAGACTAAACAAGATAAGAATTCATCATATTTCTGGAAAACCTCCTTTGGGTCCGTGAACTCCTGAAATATGGGCTTCGAATACGAGTGGGAGATGTTAGCTCTATCCGAGTGTATCAAGACCCTTGGTTACCCCGTGAGTCTATGTTCAAACCTGTTACTCCTCCATCCAATATGAACCTAATGGTTAGTGACCTTTTGGAGGGATGGATGTGGAAGGAAGATGTTCTGTATGCTAACTTTCTTTCCTAAAGATATCTCCAAGATAAAGAAAATTCCAGTTAGTATATGGGTTACCAAAGATAGCTGGATGTGAAATTATGATATGTGTTACCAAAGATAGCTGGATGTGAAATTATGATAAGAGAGACATCTACAATGTGAAGGTGGCTATAAGGCCTATATGAACAGGAAGATTCTAACAGAACCCCAGAGCAACAACTCTAATGCTGATATGTGGAAGAAACTGTTGAAACTTAAGATTCCTGTCAAAATTAAACATTTTGTGTAGAAAGCTATTCACAATTGTCTTCCTACGCTAAGTGTCAGACGAGGGATGGATATTCTTCCCTTATGCTTTATCTGTCATCGAAAAGAAGAGGATATTTGTCATGCGATCTTTAAATGTAACCGTGCAAGAGAGATTTGGAGGTTGTGTGTACCTTCTTGGTGGAAGACGAAGACCCTGAGGGGAAATTTCGTGGATATTTGGCACTCCCTTTCCGACACTCTTCCGATCGATTTTCTGGAAACAGTGGCGGTGGTGGGTTGGTCAATATGGAACGATAGAAACTCTTGGTGTAATCAGAAGCCAATTCCCCCAATATCAGCTAAATGTGAGTGGATTATGAATTACCTTATGGCTTTTCGGTCCCAATTACAACGCCTTCCTCCAAATCAGTGCGCGTCGGCGCGGTCAGAGTCTCCTCCTTCCCCGATTTATATTGATGTGGGCTGGGTTCGAGTTCCGTGTGATGCCTCCTGCCATTCGAGGTTTAACCAGACTTTGATCGGGGTCCATGTTCGAGATACTGAGTTGAAGGTCATGTACACGCTTTCGAGTTTTGTAATTACTAGCTGTCAAGGAGGCGCTTTGGTTGGCAAATCGTGTTGGCTTCAAATATGTGATGCTGGAATCGGATTGTCTTCAAGCCGTTAGATATCAATGAAGTCTCTATCATTTATTTATCGGTATATCTGATATTTTTTAACCAATTATTTAATTTCCTAGTTACTTTTTTGAGGAAAAAAATTAATTTTTATCTCAATTGTAATTTAATTTTCACCCTAAACTTTCAATTTCATTAAATTTGATCATAGACTTAGATAGGTGTTACAGTTTTCAAACTTTGTCTAATTTAACCCTAAACTATAAGCTAGTTAAAAATCTTGGAAAGCTCACTAATTTCTATTAAAACAATTTTTTTTTATAAAATTAAGTTTGATTGATACACAAAATCGATCATTAAATAAGTCTGCCAAAATTTAAAAATTTTTATACACAAAAATAATATTAAATGATGGAAGTTAAAGTGGATTTTGATCACCCGGCACTAGAGGTGTTCAAAAAACTCGACAACCTGGCCAACCAAACCCTGGATTGGGTTGGGTTAGATGAAGACTTGGGTTGGGTTGGGTTGCAATTTTTCCAACCCGACCGAGTAAGGTTGAGTCGCGGGTTCATCATTAAAATTTTCGAGTCAACCCGACCCAATCCATTTATAGACCTATATGTGTATTTTTTTTAGTTATAAATATATAATAAAATATCTATGTTCAATCTCAACCACCTATTTAAGAAAAAAAATCTCAACCACCCGTTTTATTTTAATCCTACCCATTCATTTAATAGGGTTTTCCACTTTTATCTTTTTTCATTTTGAATCTCACCCCAGCCTCCTCTCTTCTCCGTTTTCCTCACTCTCAAGTCTCAATCTTCCATTTTCTCCTTTCCTCTCGAATCGCCACCAGAGCCTCGCCGCCGTAGCATCCCGTGATTTGTTGAAGCTTCGTCCGCCATTGACTTGTCAAAGGGAGCCATTGAAGATCTTGATCTTTCACCGACCATAGCCTCGTCGCAGATCCTCGTTTCAGTCCTTTGCAACCTGTAGCCTCGTCGCTGCCGTGAGCAGAGCTGTAGATCTGTCCGTCGCTGACCCTTAACTATAGATCTATGTACTGCCGCATGCCGCAACCCACACGTAAAAAGAAACCCTCCCAAAATCTTCTCTGGTTTCTCTCTCTACTGCCCCAAGCCAACCAAAAAAAATAACCCATAAAAATTGGTTCTAATTTCATAGTTAATTGGTGCCCTAAAATTTTGCTTGCTGATGTGGGTCGCCGCCGTGAGGATAGCTTGAGATTTCTTTTTCTCTGTAATTTTTTCGGTTCAAAGTTAAAATAATTATAATAATAAGGCAACCCACAACTCAGCCTCATCATCGGGCCCGAGGCCAAGGCCGGTCCAGGCCCAGCCCAAGCTCGATCCAAGATCAACGTTTGATCGGCCCGGCCCAATCCAACCCTTCTATTAATTGGATTGGATATGGATATTCATTTTTTAATTTGGGTCAGCCCGAGCCGTATTTTATATTAATATACGGGTCAATCCAAGCCCGATCCAACTTTGGCTATCAACTTAGGTCCATGGATTGGACTATGAGCTTAGGTTTGAGTGGTTGGACCGGCCCAAGCCCGGCCCAAACAATACTTGAGGCCCGTAGGGCTTGGGCCTGGGCCAAGCTTGGGCCA